CAATTCCATCCATTAGAATAATTGAATCCATTTCCATGTTTCATTAAGTATTTCATGTGATATACAATTGCACTAGTAGCTTTTTCATATATGTTTTGATAAAACCTTGCACATTTTTGTCTTTTTACGACTTCTATTGATGCTTTGACTTCTTTAAAAGATATCTGTTTGACAATATCAAATTACATAAGTAGAAATCCAAATATATCAACTAAAACAACAAATATTATTTCAAACAAATCAAATAGGACAAATAACAATTCAAATAAATATAACATGGATAATAGCAAATTCTTTCAAACACCAATTCAATTACACATAACAAGTAACACAAATATAAAGAGAAAGTAGCTTAAAGTTCAACATCAACCTACAACAAACAAATCAAATCCTAAACTAATCAAGTACTCCCACCACGGTGTTTTAATAGATTATGCTCATATTGAATCGAGTTTAGCTTATTACTTAAATTTAGCAAAAAAATAAAAATGATTCTATTTTTTTCTTTTTAATCAATTGTAGTGCAACATTAAATTCATTTGCACTCAATCTCCTCTCTTTTTGTAGAGATTTCATTGCTTAAATGGATTTTGAAATACTATATTGTTCTGTGACTTGCGATGACATAGAAATTTCAACACTTTCAGCTGTTTTATGACTTAGATTGGCCTACACTTTTAACAATTTCAGCATTGAAATTCATCAACATGTTCTAGCTCATGATACCAAAATCTGGCATATTTTGGATTGGCCTACACAAACATCAAAGAGAAAGAAACTTTTAAAGAACATGCATATGTAAAATAATTTACAGTAACAGAAACATAGAAAATTTAAAATACTCACTTTTATTATGGTTTTCCACCATGTGGCATCAGCTTCAATAGTTCCTGTCTTATGGTTCCAATCTAAACCTGTTTATTTACCTTTTAATTGTTTCCATAAAGTCCATTCATTCTTTCGACTATCTATTCTATTTTTCAATTGTTTTTGGCTATAGTTTTTATTAGCATGAGTATTAAACTCCTTTAATACAACTTCTCATCTTATAGTTCTGAATGAAATTTCTAATTTCCACACTTATAAATCTCATTCGTACAAACTTAAAATAAGATTTTGGTAGTGACCAAATCCCACTTTGCATTATGATTTGGTTTTTTTGAAATTTCAAAAATAGGTGGAGACATTTTTTGGCTAACCATAAATGCAACAAGATATATAAAGCAATATATCTTTTGTCATTACTATTAAAGAACTTATCATTTGGCCAAGAGGGTTTATTAGGATCGCATATGCATTACACAATTAGGAAAAAAGATTATTACTACTCCATTAGGAAAGAAAAGATTATTACTACTCCATGAAGAAATGATTATTCTTAATTCTCAATTTTTTAAAATGGAAGAAATTAATAATAAACACTATTAAATATTTATGCATTGCTTATGTAGCACAAAAATCCAAATTTCTATATATTATATCGACCAAGTCGTTTCACATTGGGATATCTGAATGCTATTATTGCGTTATATAGGCTGAATACCTCAATGGCACTTGCTATATATTACTTTACTAAACTTCAAGTCTCTTAGTTTTCTACTTGAATATAGGGTTCAATAAAGAAATAAACATATAAAAATTCACACAAACCAAAACCAAAAATTAAGAACGTATATAAAACCCTAAGTAAAGAGATGCACGATAGTACATGAATATATATATATGTATGTATACTATAAAAATCAATGTATTAACATTCTAAAAAATAGAGTATTTGAAGTGTTGAACATGGATCAAGAACAACATTTATCGACATGCATATAAAAATCCAGACAAACCATAAAGAAATTACTTAAGAATTATTAATGTTCAATAGAGAGAGAGAGGTCATCTCATACTTATACTTCTGCAAATAGCACAAGCACACACATAAAAAGACATACATGGTATACAATATTTATACTATCTTTAATCACCTAATAAACCAAAACGTAACAACTCTATTTAGAGCTTATATATGATTTTCGATGTTAAAATAAAAAAAATCCATATAGAAACGAAATAACTCTCAAACTTTGTATTTTAGTAATAGCATTAGATTTTTGTTGATCTAGTAAGCAATCAGACCATGATGCTTCAATTTTCTAAAAAAAAAAAGAGAAAAGGGAAAATGATGTATTTGACATTAAAATCCTTTTTGGTAAAGAAATAAGAAAACTTTTAAATAGTATTTGAATGCAGTTTTAAATTTTGGGTTTTCTTTTCTTTTAATCTTTGTAAGAATAATAAAACCCCAAATTTTGCTATTCTGTTACGTTGGAGAAAGGTGATTTGCTGAAGGAGGGAGAGGAGAAGGAGATCGATTGAATGAGGGAAATAGGGTATTTTTTGAAAAACTAGCATATTTTTAAAAAAAGAAAAGAGAAAGCTCTTTTTTGGACATTTTCCTTCAACTCTTTTTTTTTTTATTTAGATTTTGTTCTTTGAGAAATGACTTTTTTTTTAAAGCTTTTCAAAATTCTGCTTGGCTCGGTTTATGCTTTTAAGGAGTACATAAGTTGAAAAAAAGTCAAGCCAAATAGTCGTTGTTACTTAAAGATGTCTTATGGAATGAATGGTTATCATTTTATAAAATAATTATTAAAATAATACCTTTATATAAGGATTGTATCTTGTAAAATGCAAATGTGTCCTTAAGATAGAGATGTGTCTTGGTGAATGGATTGTAACCTTAAAGAAGAGATACTTATAAGTTTATATAAAAAACTTATTGTTGACTATTTTGACACACCAAAACAAACAAAATAAGAGAAAAAAAATTAAGAGCAATAAAAATATTATGTTTTAAAAAATAAACATAAATACTTGAATTCCCATTATCTATTAAAAAAATCTAAATTCTCTACCATCTACTTGCTATACAAAGTAAACTCCAAGATCAAATAATTTTATAAACTTTCGAATGTATTTAATGATTTATTTTCATAAAGTGTAAAGATGAAATTAGATATTGACTTTATTACATCTCTAAAGCTATTTGTGTAATTCTCCTTTCGTGTAAAGACAAAATAAGTTTTTAAAAAAAATTTATTAAAAAGCTAGTGTTGAAACTAATTTTATCAATTTTTTAAATACCATTTAAACTCCATTTACATGGACAGCATAAAATCAATTTTAACTTCATCGAAAATTTTTAGCATCTAAATTCCTTTTTGATACAATCACAAAAAATCTCAAATTCACACGAGGTCAAAGTTTTCTTCTCATCTTTAAAACTTTAAAACCATGGGCCCATCAATAAATCTAGATAAAAACCTAGAAAAACCGAAAGCTCATAAACAACACCAGCAATCAAGACTGAAATTAGAGATCGAAGTGCACAAAAATCAGCATACGAATTCTCCAAATAATTTATTAGCTTTACCCATCATAAAATAGAAAAGACTAGAAAAAGTTAAAGAAAAAAGAGAAATCAAAATCTACACTACCCAAAACCGCCCATCTGCTTAAATCCCAAAATCCCTTTTCTCCCTCTTCAAAATTAAGCCTATATTGCATAAGAGAGAGAGAGAATCACATGGTGGCAAGTCAAAATCAAAGACAAAGGATGAAGGGAGAAAGAGAATTACATATCAAAAGATTCTAAGAAGAATAGGGGTGGAAATAGAAAGCTTTAATAGAGAGAGAAAATTCAAGCAGTTGAGGAAAGGAAAAAGAGGGAAAAGCAGGCCAATTAGAAATAATGACATGTTGTCAGAAGAAAAATGGATTGGAAAGGGGAGAGTTGAGGCTAGTTGCGGGAGAAGATGACAAGTTAAGGAGGATGTTCTGGAAAAAAGAAAGAGAAAGAAATGTAGGTGAAGAAAAAGAAAAAAATTGAAAATTGTCATAAGAAAGATAAGTATAATTAATTTAAGCATGTGATGGAAATCTGAGAACTACTCATGCCGTATCCCCATGTGGGAACGAAATAAGACCTCAGGAGAAAAAAGAACACATGACGCGAAATGGGAAAACATCTAATCATCAATCCACAAGACATCTCATCATCCAGGATGGAATTTTTAAATTTTTTATTAAAAAGAATAAACATTTAAAGTTTTTAAAATTAATATGTTAAATTTAATTAATGATTAAAAAATTTATAATAAATAATAATTTTATATAATAGGTAAATTAAAAAATATAAAAAAATTTATAATAATTTTTTAAAAAAATTATACTCGATCATATTTCTTAAATTCAAATTCATCAATTATTAATTCTACACTAAAAAAATTAACAATATTTTTTTTATATAAATAACTAAATTATTTAAAAAAAGGGGTAATCTATTTTATTCTAAAATCTTATTTTTATAATTTTCATTATTAAACGAATTCTCTCAATAATTGCCGTAAAAACTGAAAAAATCAAAACAAGACCAATTTATAAATCAATCAAGTGATGATGTTTTGACTTTCCTGTTTTCACTAACCTCTAGCACAATTCATAAAGTGTCTTAATATTTTCTTTATCATATTCTCATAATAATTATATGAATTAATGTTTTAAATATATAATATATAAAATATTTTAAAAAATTTTGCCCCCCATAGTAACACAACAATCCACCCCTGGTCTCACCGAAGTTTACCCTTACTATTTATAATTGCTTGATGTTCTATTAGATTTGTTAATCTCATTCAAAGTGAGCATGGGACTTTTCATTCTTCTTGATAAATACAAAATCTTTTCATTTCAAATTGAATGTTTGTCTTACTATTTTAAAATATTTCAAAATAATGTTCACTTCAGAGTAATCCACCATTGAATATTAATTTTAAGTGTACATTCTAGTTTTTATAATTTTAAAGAGAATAGTTATAAAATAACTCATATCTAAAATTTTATTGATTACTTTGAAGATTCGTGCAAACATAAAGGACAATCTGTCTTTCTTCATCTTCTTAGTTAATTTTTCACGAGAAATATATCCCATTACTGACCCTGGGGAGTGTCTTGTCTTTCTTCATCTTCTTTCTCCTTTGTTTCCCTGCCTCCCTTGCCCTTTATATGTAATAGGTCAGTGCCTGAGCTTTACGGAGCCAAGAGACCCTGATATCTTGTGTAACCCAAAAGTCCAAACAAATGTTGAAGCCACTGATTCATCCATCCCAACCCATCCAAATCCTACTTCCATTGCACAAGCCATTTTTCCATGGCGCTGGCCCCATTTCTCTTTCTGTCAAAGCGAGGTCTTTAATGAACAAAACACGCAAAAATGTTAAAGTTGGGTTTGTTCCCAGTAACATCAAAGCTGTAACAAATACTACTAAGAAGGCTGTTGGGTATAAGGCTGTTGTCACAGTAAAAGAAACTGTTAGTAGTTTCCTCAAAACCATTGGGTTAGAACGAGGGCTCGATGATATCAAAGATTTGCTTGGCAAAACACTGCTCTTGGAGCTTGTTAGTGCTGAGCTTGATCCTAGTAAGTAAAGAAAGCTTTCAGAGTTTCGAAGAGATAATGATTCTTTTTTATATCTTCTTGTATATATTAAAATGGTGCTTCATTTCTTTCTGAGCTTAATTTATAGAGACGGGGTTAGAGAAGGCCAGAATTAAAGGGTATGCACACCGGATGAGCAAGGATGGTCAGCTTGTTAAGTATGAGGCAGTCTTTGAATTACCGGCAGATTTTGGTGAGATTGGTGCTGTTCTTGTTGAGAATGAACATCACAAGGAGATGTTTCTTGAGAACATAGTCATTGACGGTTTTCCAAATGGCCCTCTCGATGTCAATTGTAATTCTTGGGTTCACTCAAAGTATGACAATCCTCGGAAGGGAGTCTTCTTTACCAACAAGGTTAAGAGTTTTACTTTTCAATTCCCTTCAGCATTTCATGTTTTGTGCATGTGTAATTCTCAGCAAATTATTTAATTTCTGTCCTTGAGTTTCCCATTCAACTTGTAAATTGTAATCCTATTAGAATTATCTATGGAGCAGTCGTATTTACCGTCAGAGACACCAAAAGGATTAAGGAAACTGAGAGAAGAAGAGCTTGTGAATTTACAAGGCAATGGTCAAGGAGAACTCAAATCCTTTGAAAGGGTTTACGATTATGACGTTTACAATGACCTTGGTGATGTTGATACTGCTCCAAGTAAGAAAAGATCCGTACTCGGTGGGAAAGAGTTCCCATACCCTCGGCGTTGCAGAACGGGTCGTTCACGTTGTGATACAGGTCAATAAATTGCGGTGATAACCTCTTTAATGGAAATAACACAATTACTTGCATCGCCATTATCTGAAACATTCATAGTTGATGATATTTATCAAATGTTGTTAATGCAGATCCGCGTTACGAGAAATGGCAAGCCAATTTCTACGTGCCTAGGGACGAAGCATTCTCAGAGGTGAAGCAGCTATCCTTCGCCACAAATTTCATATACTCAATGTTGCAGGTGGTAATCCCATCGCTAGAAGCTACAATCCTCGACCCTGATCTTGGATTTCCTGACTTCAACACTATAGACCAATTGTTCACTGAGGGGCTTAACTTGCCAGCCCTTGATAAAAAAGAGTTATGGAAATCAGTCTTGCCCAGGCTTATCAAGACTATATCTGAGGAAACTCATAGTATTTTGCGCTTTGAGACCCCTGAAACATTGAACAGTAAGCACTCTGTTTTTTCACTCTTCTCTGTCTCTTTTTATGCCTATTCATGTGCTTTTGTTCTTGCAGGAGACAAATTTTTTTGGTTGAGGGATGAGGAATTCGCTCGCCAAACTCTTGCTGGTCTTAATCCATTTAGCATAAAGCTAGTCACGGTAGGAAATACGTAAATTATAGAAGTTAAATTATTCATGAATACCGTCGAATTTTTCTATACTTATCGTTCTTGATTACAGGAATGGCCATTGAAGAGCAAACTCGACCCTAATATTTATGGTCCTGCGGAATCAGCCATCACGACAGACCTAATTGAGCGAGAAATCAACGATGTCATGACAGTCCATAAGGTAATTTGAGTGACAAGACCCATTTGAAATTTTGAGCTTTCTGATTTTTTTTTTAAATTAGTGCACCTAATTTTTTTTTCTTTTCAAATTCAATTTATGCAGGCAATAACGCAAAAGAAATTATTCATCCTTGATTACCATGACCTCTTCTTACCATATGTCAAGAAAGTTAGAGACCTTAAAGGCAGAACACTTTATGGATCACGTACGATATTTTTCTTGAACCCAGATGAGACATTGAGGCCTATAGCCATCGAGCTGACTCGTCCACCAATGGATGGGAAACCGCAGTGGAAGGAGGTATACACGCCTAGTTTTCATTCCACAGGAGACTGGCTTTGGAAACTTGCAAAAACTCATGCTCTTTCTCACGACTCAGTCTATCACCAGCTTGTTAGTCACTGGTATATATTCCACTGTTTCAATTAATTTCTTCTGGGTTCTTTAATCGCTTTTAACAAAAGGAACGGCTAAAAATCTCTATTGTAGGTTGAGAACTCACGCTTGTGGTGAGCCTTATATCATCGCAACTAATCGACAACTCAGTATGATGCATCCAATTTATAGATTACTACATCCTCATCTCCGCTACACGATGGAGATCAATGCATTGGCCAGAGAATCATTAATATGTGCTGATGGGCCAATTGAGAAAATATTCACCCTTGGCAAGTATTATCTAGAGGTTGGCTCTGTCTTTTATGACCAACATTGGCGATTTGACCAGCAATCACTGCCTGCGGATTTGATTAGCAGGTGATTTCATTACTTTACTTCCTCTTTTTTTCTTTTTTTGCATAAAGTTTTTTTTTTGATTACTTTTCTTTTTAATTGCCAGGGGAATGGCTGTTGAAGATCCAACTGCTCCTCAAGGCTTTAGGCTAACAATCAAAGACTACCCTTATGCCAATGATGGTCTCTTCATCTGGGATGCCCTCAAACAATGGGTGACCGAGTATGTCAACCACTATTACCCAAAAGCAAATATGGTCGAGTCTGACCAAGAGCTTCAAGCATGGTGGAAAGAAATTCGAACGGTAGGCCATGGAGACAAGAAGGACGAACCATGGTGGCCTGTCCTCCAAACCCCACAGGACCTAATTGAGATCCTCATGACTATAATTTGGGTGGCATCAGGTCACCATGCAGCAGTGAACTTTGGCCAATATACTTATGCAGGCTACTTCCCCAGCAGGCCTTCTTTCACTAGAGCTAAAATGCCCAGTGAAGAGCCCACTGAAGAAGATTGGAGACTTTTCTTGAGAAAACCTGAAGCTGCACTACTTGAATGCCTCCCTTCACAAATTCAAGCTACTAGAGCCATGGCTGTTTGGGATGTGATCTCACATCATTCACCGGATGAGGAGTACTTGGGGGACAAAGTCGAGCCGTCATGGGCTGAAAATCCTGTTATAAAGGCGGCATTTGAAAGATTTAATGGAAAGCTGAAGGAGCTTGAAGGCATTATTGATGAAAGAAATGCAGACTGTAATTTAAGGAACCGAAATGGAGCCGGCATTACTCCTTATGAGCTTTTGAAGCCCTTCTCTGAGCCTGGGGTTACAGGGAAGGGTGTTCCATATAGCATTAGCATTTGAAGTTGCAAAGTTAATAAATTTGGGACAAAAATATATTTGTGCAAATTGCAAATAAAAATTGCGAGTGTATCAATTGCAATAATATGAATACTTAATTTCACTGTGGAGCCGTAAATAGTGGCTCGCTTTTGTTCTGAGGCAGAATATAGAGCAATAGCTGCTACTGTTGTTAAAGTTACATGGATCCAATCCTTGTTAAAGCAGCTTAAGGTTACAACTTTCGCTCCTCCAACATTCCATCGTGACAATATCAGTGCCACTTGCACTTGTAAGAATCCTATCTTTCATACAAGAATGAAGCATTTGGCATATTGGATTACTTTTTTATTCGAGGGAATATGAATTAATGTCTTCCATACGAACTCCATTTACCCTTTATTTTTCTGTTTCCAGGCATTACATCCCGAGGCTTGTATTGCCTTTTATCCTCTTCATGTTTCCAGCGTCATTTCCTACGGCTTGTGTTGTTTTGATCTTCTTCATGTCTTTGGGCATTTTCAAGGTGATTGTATTCCCTTTTACAGTTCAATATCTTTGATTGTGAAGCTTTGCAAGCTATATATCTACATTCAATAAAATAGAAACGTTTGAAAGAAACAAAAGAATATGAATTAATGTTAGCTACGTTTTCAACATATTTCCATAATTTATTACTTTTTTTAAGTCATGACAAATATTATCTAAAAACAGTTAAAATTATAGTGAAGATTACTTTTGAACTGACCTTATTACGAAGGTTATTTCTCATAATTTTCTCTTAAATATATTATAAATATTTTATATAATGTATGAGGTATTTGTTTATTTATGAGTTTATTTATAAAGAATTATGAGAGACTTATGTAGATAAAACCCTTAGAACATAATGGCCTTACAAAGAAATTATACAGGTTATAACTATGAGATTCTTATACATTAAAATCTTGTTCCTAAATATGTTTCTGGTCATTGTATTGCCAAGAATAAGAACATTGCCAATGCTCAAATACTGATACATGCTAAGCTTTCTTACTTTGAAAGTAAGCAACCGATCTAATAGGTTGAAGTATGTGAGATACTTGGGGATAGTATGTGGGTGCTTGTTAAGAAACAAGTTCACTTAACATAATCCGCTATAAGAGTTTCATTTGATATTTCACTCAAGAGTCTATGAAAATACTCTCATATGTTAGTAATGTAAGCAATCTTTAGACTTATGATATCGGGTCATCTATATGTGAATTGTCATGCTTTGCTCTCACCTCTACGGGTCTAGAGATGACCAAACGCCTAAACATGGTGCTTTTGGATATGGCATGAAACATGCAAAGATGAATGAATTCGACAGAGACATATCTCATTTGCTCCTAGCTTATATTGACTACAAGTCCTTGGCTAAGGCAATCTTGATCGGTCAATATGGAAGTTGCAGGACTAATATGGATAAGTTAGAAAGTAGACACCAAGCCAAGTTTTTTATCTATCTGGGATATATGATGAATGGATCGAATTACACTGAGATACTGTACACTAAAAGGTTATTCAAACCATCTTGACTCTCCTAACATTCGAGTGACCATGATGTATTGTTATATGTCACATGTCACTCATGATTTATAAATATAAATGTAAATTCTTAATAGAATTAATTTATATTTATTGTCAACATGTTGGAGACATAATGAGTCATATACAATAAGATGACAATGTGAAATGCAAATGAGATTCGTATTTAACCAAAAGGTTGATCATCATTTTAATCTAATTATAAATACTTTATGCGTGTGTTGCACCTTGTGTGAGATTGGGAGAAAAGAAGACAAGAAAAATAAGAGAAAAAAAAAGCCTAAAACTCTCTTTTTGTCGCCAATTGGCGAGGTTCCCAAGGAAAAGGAATTTTTCTTCTTTTGTCTTCTTTTTGTTTTGACAATAAGAAAAACATCTTGGGTGAAATTTATGAAATCTTGGCTACTAGCATAGCATCACGGTACATACGTTGTCCTAACCTTGTGAAGGTTTCAATTGTCATCTATGTGGATCACCATTAAAGGCTAGACATATGGATAGCTTTGGTTGACAACAATTGGGCTTTGGTGTATGCAAAAGTGGAGGATTTGTGAATTGTGATTTTCAACAATCACTCACTAAGGTATACAATTCAACCCATGAATTTTTATGTATGATTCATCCAGTTGAAAATACAAAACAAAAGATCCAAGGGAGGTTTCGGTTTTTCTTCTTTAAATTCCACTGTGTTACTCCGTTTAATTATTTTTAATTCATGAAACTCCAACTTTGAGCATGGCATAACCCTCCAATTGGTATTAGAGCCTCCTTGTTGTTGTCTTTTGATTGGATTTTATACTTTGATTGTTACCAACTTGACAAAAATGTTTTGTCCGAAAATCCTAGTCCAAACCGATACATGTGCCTAAATTGTCAAAAATTGTTTTGGTAAATTTTAGCATTTAATTCCTGTATATTAATCACGATTTAATACTTCTTTTTAAGTGTTAGAATAATGATTTCAACCAAGTTTTTGCAAGTTGAAAAGTTAGAGTTCAAATCGAAATAGTTTCACACGAGTTTGAGCTTGAATGGTGATGAATCATGATCAGAAAAATTGAGAATTTTTCAAGGGTTCATTAATATTACTTTGAGTAATTTCCAGCCTTGAAAATATGTTAAAATTGTTTAGTATATGGTCTGCAAAATTCAGGTAATGGCTGTCCATAAAAGGGTTTCATGAACAACAAAATTTTTACCGCATATGCGACATCCAGGGTATTACGGGTTATGGTGAAATTCCAACTTGCAATTTTTGGCCACCTTGGTTGATATTTAGCTGCCGCTTTAGAGGCTAGAAAGGAGTCCATGTGCCGCTCCAATTGGTTTTAGTTTGGGAAACTTTGACTGGTCGGATGAGGGAAAGAAAATCCTAAAGTTAAGGATTTTTGAATGCACAAGCATATTAATTCCTAATTGTTGATTAATATCCCATAATTTAAGGGATTGGATTATACCATATTTAATTAAATTAAATATGATTATTATCACAATATTATTTATCCAAGTTTGTTTCTAAAATATATATTTGGAAAGAAAATAAATTAGTTTTCTAAATTGTTTAGGAAACTAGAATATGGTAACTACTTAAACGTTAAGGTTACCTATTTTGTTCTATTCTCAAATAATTGGAAAATTAGTCAAATTGTTAAACTAATTTATTTAAATTAAGTCATAATGGTTAATATAAATAGAAACTTAATTAAACCTAATATGATTAGGATTTATCTTAATTGGATTAAGATAAATGTTGATTAAGCTAAGGATTTGGATTATTTTTATAATTGGTAATTGGATACTAAAGCACATTAATTTTAAAATATGTTTGTGATATGATTGTGAACTTATACCCAATATGATTACGGACGGTAAATTTTTTCATGGTTTTTATTAAATTTTAAATAGGGTGTACACACTCTGCCTTTCTTTCTTTTTCTCCAAATTGTAAATTTTCTTATCACCTAACTCCCCTCGAATGCAACTCAAGGTTTCTTTATTTTAAATGTAATTAGTTACATCAAAGTGTCAAATTAGTATTAGCTAGGGATTATTTTGTAATACAAAGATAGAGATACAGAGGCACCATGAAAAGACAAGGAGATTACAAGAAAGCTTGGAAATGACTTTCTATGTAATCACTTAGGATTTGACCAACTAATTTCCTTTAATGGCTTAAGGAAATTAGACTAGATAAAAGTACATAATTATCCTAGTAGTATGCATGTGATAGATTTATTTTATACGATATTATAAATGCTATGCATGCCCAAAATGGATGAGACCTCAATAAAAAAATTACAAAAAAACTCTCATTAAAATATTGAGTCACATGTTTCACATGATCTAGTTATTTTCCATCTTATAGCAAGATAACCATATTGCTTTTTAATTGGAGGCTTGTTAAGTCACTTGAGGCTAAACTTTTACACAAGTACGTTTAAGCTATTGATGGGTTTTACTCAACTAACACTGTGCTATTCAGATGTGTTACACTTGACTACAAGGTATTAAAGTTGGAGTTAGGCAAACTGCATATAATGCATTTAGACAAGGAGTTGTCAACTAACCAATCTGGTAGTTGCATGGAGATGCAATCGACAAGCTATGTTATCTACCCAATTAGGCTTATTATGGCTTGCTGAGTCACCGAAGGTTGCAATAACTTGAAAAGGGTCCTAACCCACAAGAAATACCTAGTAAAGATTTTTATGTAATAGTGAGGGCTATTATTGCAAAAATTAGTGAGAGAACCAATACAAGATTTAATACTTCATCTTAAATTGTTTAATAGCATGAAAGAATAACACAAATACCTTTGTTATATTTATAGGTCGTTAGAATGGGTATAATGATAATTGCTACTTTGCTTGGCATACTTGATGCCATCAGCTAAAAATGTTTGGACTGGTATATCGCCTTGAGAAAAGTTCACAATAAATGGAAAGGTGCAATCTTGACAAATCAAGAGTTGAATTTGAATATGATTGGGCTTAACCTTTCTATTGTCAATCTTAAATCTTGGATAATAGATTCAGGATGTGGATTGCATTTATATGCTGATATAAAGGCTTTAAGGGAAAGTAGAAAGCTTGGTAAAAATAAGGTAGTCCTAAGAGTGAGCAATGGTGCAAGAATTGCAATAGTTGTCGTTGAGACTTATGATCTCATGTTACCATCAAGTTTAGTGTTGGAGTTAAAAAGGTGTTATTGTGTTCTATCATTAACTAGAAACATCATTTCGGTTTCATACCTAACTAAGAATGATGATTTCGAATTTATTATGAAAGACAATCATTGCACTATCATTCAAAATGATGTCTTTTATGGATCTGCAATATGTCATGGAAGACTTTATGTTATGGATCTTGATAGCCCAATTCTCAATATAAATGTCAATAAAGTAAAGAAAGATAATCCAAGTCAAACCTACATCTTGCATTGTAGACTTGGTCATATCAATG